ACTCAGTCCAGAATCCTTTAATATTTCTCAGGTGTCTTACCTGGGAGCTTTAATTCCTGTAACAGTTCTCCAGAGGAGCCCCGGTGCGTCTGGACACCCGACAACTCCGAGGATAAAAAGACCCTCAGCATCCAGCAGGACACACCCATCATCAGCACAAGGACACGGGGGTATTTTTAGAGCTGCGCTCATATACGCCTGATACGAGAGCAGAGGGCCCAACGTTTCAACCACATAAACAAAAATGACTCAAACAGGGAGCCAACTGGAAGCAGGGAACGAAGGGAATGTGGTGAGACTTCAGGACTGTCCTGCAGGTGGTCCAAAGCAGCTGGTGGACCATGAAAACTAATTTCTTACTTTAAACACACCACCTCTTCTAAACTATGAAAACACTAGCAACAGTCTAAGTAACTGGACTCAAATTAGCCCAAATATTTCATGTCAATCTGATATTGCATCATTTTTTTAATGAGGTTGTTTATAAATACTCACAGGGTCAATTGGGGGGGGGTTGTTAAACCAGAACCAGCGTCTGATTTGTGTTTAGTTTGGCAGCATCTTGGCAGGAAGGGGTGGAATGTGTGTGTCGCATTAAAATCATGTCCAAAACACTAACATTATTAGACCACTCATGGTCAGGAGTTTGTTTAAAAAAAAAAAATGCAGTTACAGTTTTAGTACATGTGCAAATAAAGGACAAGCTAATTCCATTATTATCTCTTGTGAATCTAATAAATCAAAGGTTTAAAATCTGATCTGCCCACTAAACAATTCCCTTAAATCGATAAAGGAAACTGTGGAAGAATAACCTGAATTAATATCAAAATAAACTGTGGTAATTCAACAAATATCACTTAGAGTTTCTTGTTGCAAAGTCTGAAATCGAGTTAAAAAAGGCTACCCTGAAAGAGTTCACTCCAGCAGTTTTACAGATATATTGAGTTTTTAAAATGTGGGTATGCACTCAGTGTAAACAAAGCAGTCGGTTGAACCAAACTACGTGGAAGATTGAGCCTTGACCTACATTAGACCGGTCGTCATCGGTGTAGGTAAATCAGACCAGAATAGAACAGAGAATAATAAGTCATAAAATAAATCCCTACATATTTACTGTAGATGACATGTACCCTCAATATGAGTCCTTTAATTTATGCTCAAAATGCCTGTCTGAGGTAAATTACCCAGCTTTTTTTTGTTGTTGTTCTTATGCTCACATATTGTTGTGAGGTATATTCATGACAAAAAGTCCATTTAAATTTAGATGCTGGGTTTGGATCGTTTCCATGTTGTGTTTACTCGCTTGCCTTTTCCTGCAATGGTCTCAGTTGCTCCAGCAGAGTTTGGAGGTAACTGGATCAGGCTGCACGTATCAAGCCCCCCAGAAAAGATAAGGGCTCCAATGACATCCACCGCATTTAAACACAAAACATCACATCCCACTTTCAGGTGTCGTCACTTAAATTGAAGTTTTTGAAATGTAGGCCCTCAGGTTAGTTCGGCTGGGGACTTTATAGATGCCAGATTTTCAGAGAGTCAATGTTTGGCATGAAGAGCGACAGTGAGCTGATACAAGCACGAGGCTTCATACCAACTTCAGCTGTTAAGTGTTTATTTATCCTGACAATGGCAGCAATATTCACATCCACCAGCTTAAACCTCTTTAGCTTTTATCCATCTTGTCAACACTCCCCTCGCTCCGCAGCCAAATATCGCATATCCTCCTGACGGGCAGGAAGACGAGGAATTACGGCTCAGAAAAATGACCCTGAAAACCTCTGAGGATTTAGAATCATTAAAGTATCAGATTTAAAATTCATAGTAAGTGACTGTAACGTACTATTTCCAGGATAATTAAGCTAACTGGTGAGTTTCCAAAGTATGGCGAACCACCGGTGTTCGAGTTACAGAAGCAGCACATTTATTCCCTAATATAGGCGCAGTAAGAGTGAGAGTTTTTATCTGATAAACTAAAAGTGTTTTAGTCGTGGCACAATACCAGAAAAGGTGTTATAATTTACTGACAGTGGAGATTTTAGCCTCTTTTTGGGGCTGCTCAAGCACCCCCTAAATTTTAACTCAGCAACCCAGAAAAATAAAAAGTAAATTTTATTTATTTATTTATTTTTTTTGGCGGTTCTGGGTTTGGGTTCTTGCCTTTATGATTCAATGCAACAAAATTGGTTAACACCAAACTGATTTTGTACAAAGCGTTTAGTAGGTTGTGTGATGTAAGGCAGAGCGTCACGTCTGTAGCATCTTAGCTAGCGTATCCGGACTGCACGCCGCTAGCTTAGCGCTACATCTTGTTGTGCCGAGCTCTCTAAAATAGTTATTGAATAAAGCGTTTACTAATGTCGGTAAACGTAGATGTTTAACATCCATCCATTATCTTTTACCCGCTTCTTCCATTTTGGGTCACGGGGGTCGCCGGTGCCCATGTCCAGCAATCACTGTGCGAGGGGCGGGGTACACCCTGGACAGGTCGCAAGTCCAATACAGAGACACATGGAGACAAAAGAGACAAACAACCATTCACTCTCTCACTCACACCTAGGAACAATTTAGAGTTACCAATCAGCCTAACATGCATGTTTTTGGACTGTGGGAGGAAACCGGAGTACCTGGAGAAAACCCACGCATGCACGGAGAGAACATGCAAGCTCCACCCAGAAAGGCCCCTGGACCGGGGTTTGAACC